AAAATAATAATAATAATATTATTATTATTTCAAAGTTACAAAATTTTGTTCAAGTTGTTCTGTCATCCATTCATTTGATAGTTATAATTATATCATTGGTTTACATTACTTTTTCTTAACTATAGTTTTCTACTTCAAAAAACTATACTTAAGTTTATCAATCAAGTATATTGCCAGTTAAGTTCCAAAGTCTCAGATGAGATGATAGATATGCTAATTGAGTTACCTGAACTTTGTTTTACTGAAAAAATTAAATATCTAAATAATATGATGGTATTAATTTCTTCTTCCATAAGTAATAATAATAATAATAATATATATATATATAATCTATGTAAAAACTAAACATATAAGCATAAACCATAAACTTACAACTGTAGCATAACTTCTTCAGATAAACAAAATAAAGCACATTTCTTAGATACAATAATACTATTTAATGAAGGAGAAATTAAAATCAATATCCACCATAATATATACACAATTCCAGTCTAATGAAAATATATCTCAGATTTTATTGTGTTATATTTCTTCAAATGTAAGAATAACATTTGAAGAAACAAGAAATACAACTCAAATTTACATACATTATGTAAATTTTTAAAATAAACCTAGATGATATGTATGTTTTTCAGACAGGAATAATTTGATGATACAATCATTTTGCTTCATATCCAAAAAGAACTGGTCATTGTTGCTCAAAGAGAAGACATTATGATCATGGTTAAATACAACATAATGATAATATTTGTGTCACTATTTAGTATCCTTAAGTGATTTACCAACTTCTTATCTATTCTATATTAAAAACCAAGTTACTATTTAAGTAAATTATCTTGCAATTTAGTGTAGGGACCATTTTATAAATTACTGAATGCATAAATTGTTATTTCTCACATAGAATTATCATTTCTTTTTGCAAGCTTTGAATTTAAAAATAAAAAAAATTCAACTTATATTTCATTACCTGATGGAAATCTTTTCCACTACTTTTACCATCACCACTGAAATCCACATGTGAAAATAAGCAACGTAGGAGGTGCCTTTCTGCCTCTAACCCGTGCTGGGCTACAAGCTGAAAAATTCAGAAATAAAATTTTACATTTTAAAATTTCTAAATTTTCATTAATATACATTATAACAAACATACCTACAAAAATATTACATATTATATAAAATAATGATTAAAAACCAACAAAAAAAATAAACTTATATGAAAATAATAAATAGTACAAATCAGTAATATTAACAACAGTAATTAATAGCCAGATATATAATACTAAAATGAAATAGTGACTTTTCTAAATACAATATAGTATACTTTCGATTATACCTGCACAAATTACCTATTGCAGATTATACACTGAAACAACATTTCCCCCCCAATTATTGGGACAACATTTCCCCCCAACGTATCTCGTCCGTGCGCTGGCACATGGCCCCATGTATGCCCCTGGGGAATCTGTCATACAACCAGAAAAAGTAATGCCCGACGTGGAGCATCTCATCACAGGGTTGCCGGACGTCCACAAAGAATATTATAGGTGGAAGACTACTATCAAGATTTGCGAAACCAACAATCGGAAGCGTCGTGACTGGTTCTGGAATCTAATACGTAAATCTAAGAAATGGTTAACTGAGCAAAACATTGTGGTCATCAGAGCAGACAAAACCAAGTCTCTGGTCTTAATGAAGAAAAACATGTTTGTTTCTATGATGCAAGGATATATCAAGGACACTGACTGTGAAGAAATTGATGATGGATACGTCAATAGGTTACAGGCATGCATAAAACGGTTCACACAAACAAGGTTTGCTAGAGAATGGGGGTTCAATAGGGCGGTGGTGGCGTCTCCCAGCACACCTAGGCTTTTCGCCTTCGCCAAAACCCATAAAGACCCACCAGCTCTTAGGCCGGTCCTTGATAAGGCTAGATCGCCTACTAGGGCATTAGAAACTGCGGTACACAAACACATATGAGACAGGATAAACAATTATCCGTGGACTATCAAGAACCCGGTCGAGCTCATTGAAACCTTGAGGAATATTAGCATAACCAACTCCACTTGTATCACGGTTCTTGATTTTGTTTCTTTATACCCGTCGATCAAAATCCAGCCATGCTTCTGCGAGTTCCGGGATTTATTACTCACCTACACCGGCGCTTCCGCGCATCGAAAACACATCTTGGAGTTTACGCACATATTGTGTTACTCGTCCTTCTTCTGTTTTAATAACAAAACTTACCTCCAAAAGTGGAGCGTTCCCATGGGGAGCCCTCTCTCGGGCAATTTATGTGAGCTGGTGATCAGGAGACTGGAACATCAAATCATCCCCGTGTATATTTCCAACATCCTCCTGTACAGGAGATATGTTGATGATATTATTATCATTTGGAAAACGGAACCCAACATAGAACAGTTCATTAACTTAATGAACGATAACCCTTANGAAATTTTTGCCCTGCCAGGGTGTGGCCGAGTTATCCAGACTGCCAGGTTATCGAATGCCACGTTTTCAGGACTCTACTCTATTGTAATTTTAAAAATTTTTAATCTTTGATTGAAACAAATAATTAATTTTCTTGTTAAATGTTGAAGAATCATTTTAAGAATCAGAAATTGTAACAAGATTTGCTCAATTCCGATTCCTGAAAACTGCCTGATTTTTCTGATTCCTAATTCTGATTAATTGTCCCATCACTAATGATTATAATTACATTTAATGGTTAATTTAAAAATTAAGTTCCAAAGAAGTTGTTTGAATTTTTTACAAAAGCTCACCTTTTGATGATTAAGTGGATTGTCGATGGCGTAACAAAACACAGATATAAAATTTGGCTTGCTTATTAAAGTCGCACACTCCTGAATCAAATACTGTGTCTAAAATAGCATTAAAACAGAATATTATAAGTCTTTATAATAAAAGAAAAAATTTCAACCAAAAATAAAACATAAAACATTAACAATTTCAGAAATTCAAACTTTTTAATATAAAATTTGATTTCTACAGTTAACAATTTTCTAACTTTTTAACTCAAAACAATTTTGTTAATTTCAAAAATACTTTTTAATTGACTTAATATCATTATACATATAATTATTAATAATAAACAACAAATTATTAGTGTTTTGTATTTTTCTATATATATTAGTAACTTTTGTCTTTAAATTCTAAAAAATATATATATATATATTTCTTAGAATTTAAAGACAAAAGTTATCTATAAAACAAAAGGATAGTTTATTTATTAATAAGGTCTTCTAAAACTACTACAGTAGAATCCCTGATTATCTGGAGCAAGGATCAGCAACCTTTTTCTTACTAAGAATACAAAATTTTTAAAACCATCCAGGGTGCATAGCTTAATTTTTGAAAAAAATCCCAATGTTGTAATAAATAAACAAAATACAGTGAAACCTGCTAATGTGACCACTGAAGGAACCAGCTCAAATAGGTCACCTTATGCAGGAGGTCACATTAGCAGGTTTCACTGTAATTATGTTTTGAAATATGTATACTGTATTTATACAAAATAAAAATTATACATGCTTGTAATAACTAAAAATTGAAAATTAAAAGTATGTATGTAAAATAATAAATTCTAATATCAAATTAAATAAAAAAAAAGTACACACATTGGTGCTTGCATGACTATGATTCTAGAGTGCATCTGAAAAGTGCCGCATTGCTGACCCAATCAATGCTACCTCAGATAACCCAACCTGTGAATAAAACAGACTGCCATGGCCATTTTGGGTTTAAAATTTACAAATATAAAAGATTTATATGCTATATCACTTTTTTTCCTCTTTTTATTCCTTAGTAAATTTAATCATGTATAAAAACAACATTTTTACATCATTTATTATACAGCTAATATAGGTACAGTCCAATAATTTTAAAAATAAACGCATAAAAAATATGTAGAGGAGAAGGTGGTATTATGGAACACTGCAGGTATTATGGAACCACCCCATTTCGAATTGATAATAAAGGCGAACTGTAGCGGAATGTGGATGAACTGAACTAGGCAGACATCCATAGCAAGGGGAAAACCCGTTTTACTTCAGTTAAACGGTTGTCCGTATTTAATCAGCAAATTTGTTTTTTTCAAAATTCACAAGTTTTGAATGCTAAGTGAATTTAATTATTTTTAAAATATAAATCG